TTCCCCTGCACTGGCCTAACTACTCTGCACCCTCAATGGGGTTATAGGGCCTTAACACCCCTTAGGCCTCAGGTGTCTGTCGACATGCCTGGATCTCACTCTCTACATATGGCCCATTCAGTCCTTAGGCTTCTTCCAACATACCTGAACTTCACTCTCATTCAGGCCTCCCACTAGACCCCACTCTCATTTGGGCCTTGGGCTTCAGGCCCTCCTGGCTCCTGTACTGTTACCCCAGCCTCACTCTCAGGCTTTGGATCTCAGGCCCTCCTGGCCTCCATGATCTTGTCCAAGCCTGGTGCTTTTCTGTCAGGGTGTGCTCCCTTAGCCTTTCCCCTCCACAGAGTCACCACAAGGTAGCAAGGGCTGAGGCTTTCTGGCACCCCATACTTGTACACTAGGGAGGCAATGGTGTAGCATTTACTGAGGCTTGCACTGCCACTGGCAACCCCACTACATTATTCTCCCCAGCAGGGTGTGTTTTTAGATCATTCCTCAGGACCATTGCAGGCCTACCTGCCCTGGTTCTTCTTTGCCCCCATGGGCTCTTGGGTGTTCTCTCTCTGGGCTACTCACTCCAGTACTCTACTGCAGCCTCCATCTCAAGACTCTCTCTCACTGACCCCAACTCATTCAGGCACCCTTATTGGATGCCTCCCATCAGGAGGCTGCACTTCTGTCTCTATCATTACAGCTTGCTGACTGTTTGACTGCCTATTCTCTATTAGATAGCGATGCCTCCCCCCATCAAAAGTACCTTCAGCTTCTTTAGGCTCTGTCCCCACCTCCAGACTAGTTGGGGTGCCAGCTGATTATCCCCAGGTCTGGCCTGCCCCTGATAGTGGACTTAAGTGCCTTTCAGCCTTGCAGCCCTGCCCCCCTTGCATTGACCAGTCTAGATTCCCTGGTATCAGTGCAGCAGCAGCTGATCTCCTTATCCCCTATGGGCCCCACCATAGAGCCATCTTTTCCTGGGAAGGTCCGGTGCCCCAGAAATCTTATATGAGGCATCCCCTCACTCAACTGGGCTCACGTGAGTCCCTGACCTCATCTCTGCCAGTTCTCATCAGGGGCTTGCCTAGCCTCTGTGTAGGCCCACAAGTCTAAGTCCCTTTTGCAAGGCTGGCCTCACTCTTCCCTAGGCCCTAGGCCCAAAGTCTTCTCCTCTAGGCTTGGGACCCACTGGGTCCCTAGGAACCTCCTCCACCCCCATAGTTCCTACCCTCGAATTCCAGATGTACCTGGGAACAGAAGAGCTCTAGTTGGTGATATTAACTTGGCAGCATCCCTGCAGCAACTGCTGGCTCTGCTCCTCAGGCCATTCTCTTATGCTGTGTGTGTGTCCCAGGTGGATGCAGGCAGAGGGCCCAAAGACCCCTCCCATGGCAGGACCCAGGGCAGGGCCAACCCATCCCAACAAGAAAGAGAAAAGCTTTGAAGACAGGGCAAGCTTACCTTTCTCAGGGAAAAGGGAGACAGACAAACCACGCTGGGACAGATTGCCTACATGGTTCATCAGCCGCTTTTATTGCCGACTGGGAGTGGTGTGGGCAGATGACATCATTGAAAAGCACCTCCTGGCTGAAATAAAAGCTGCCAGCAGGAAAATGTCTGGGGGGGGGAGGGGGGGGAGGACTGGTGTAGACAGGCAGC